TATAGTGTGTATATAAAAGACAAGATTGACAGACATGATTGAAAGAACGTGAAGAAAATGCCAAAAAATCGATTGATGATTGCATTCTTGTCGAGATTCATTTCAGAAGCATAAACAGAACCTGAATCGGTTAGATAACTACCTTTCGATGTCCATAAAGGAGCAGCAGAAAGGCCGACAAGTGCAGCAGCTATAAATGAAAGAATCAGTGATTAAAGTAACCAAAGAATTTCTTACTTGGATACATTAAATACGCTTTCGGATAGTAATTGGCAGCTATAAAAAGAACATAGCTAAAAAAAATAGAGCACATGTATAGCTATTGAAGACAACAGATTTCTATTTTCACCCTCTTCACTCTGTAAAAATCAATAATTGCGACTGTTCTTTTATTGTTTATAAGTCATTCATAAAATGTGCACATTGGTCTTTTTCTGGTCTCGCGCCATTCATTCCTGTTGTTATGTAAATTATTTATCAATGTCTACTATTCGATAGAATAGAGAATGTGCTGCAACATAACTGACTATATATTCTATTCAAAGCCGATACCGGAAATATCTCAAAAAATAGATCTTCACACAGGATAATATGATGCATTAGTTTAATTGTAGATGAGAATTCCTACGATATTATTCACCGCGTTTGTTTCGCAGTAAACTTCAATATTCATTAGCAATTGTGTTTCACAAGAACAGATTTTTTTTCGAAAAAAATTTGAGAAGACAGTCGAAATTATGGATTTTTACAGGAAATAAAGTGCAAAAAGAAAACTTTAATCTTTTGTTCCTGCTATGAAAATCATAAGACACGGAAATATAGAGATTAGTTGTTTCAATAGTTATTTGAGCAGTTGCATGTATGTATCATAAAGAATTGAATAATGAAACTGATAATTGAATTTTTAAGTAACTAGAAATATATATTAATACTTACGATACTTGAGAAATTACTAAAGTCCATTTAAGACCAAAGATCGACATCAATGGATGCGGTAAAAATATGGATGAAATAATAAGAAAAACATATATGATCGATGATGAATTGACGCCAATATTGGCCTCTGTATTGAGTGAACTTTGAAGATTTTGTATACCATTGAATGCAGTAAATTGAAGTAGAAATGCAACACTGATCACCAACAAATTTTTGTATGTTCGAAAACCTAATCGTTGTTGTATTTTTGATGAAGTTAATTTATCATTAGTAACAACGTTATCATTGGTGATTGTTCGATCCGTTTGTAGTTCCAACTCAACATTTGAAATCACTGACATGTTGCAATTATAGAAGTAATGTGCATAGAAAGAACCAATGATAATAGTTCAGAACCAGATAAAATCACACACTTACTCGTCGTGTAAGAGAAAAGAAAAGATTTACTTATTATTATGGCAAATGTTTAGTCGTTCTCCTCGAATACGTATGCATGTATATAAAGTAATCTTTAATGGAATAGATAAGACTTGTTGTTCGATGCGCCATTATGGTTGTGAAAAAAAGAATGAGCTCGTGAAAATGTCTTGCATAGATGAGTTATGTTGCGGAAAGATCAGAATTGCAAGAGTATAAATACATGCACCTTTCACTATAACGAAAAAAGCGTAGAATAATACATCTTTAAAGGGTATATAAAAGTACAATGTATAGAATAGACCATTTTTTACCGTATGGATGAGTGAGCGGATGTGGGATGATGAAATGAAGGCAAAGAATCAATCGAAAATTGAATGTCAAATCAGTCTTCAGGAATCAAAATAAAATCGAACAATCTAAATGATTTAAAAATGTGAGTCTTGAATGATCAAAGTCTTATCGAATAGTTGAAAATGTCTTTCAGACGGTTCTCTCCTTCTCAAGTAGTAGAAGGTTCCATAGAGTTCGAGTAGTCAAAATGTATCCAAAAAGTCGAAAATAATTGTACGATGGAGAAAATTTTCAAGAGATTCGAAATTTGAACAGAACAGAATAGAATTGTACCTATCGTTAAGTTTCGACTACTCGTCTTGTTCATATTCGTCGCAAGTAAAGAGAGTTGTTTTCGGACAGCAAATATAAGTGACATGAAATTCTGATCTACTCTAGTGAGATGAGGAAGGCAGAAATTTTTTATTTACATAAAAAATAGAAATGAATTTATTGTTGCCATCAGATCTGCTAGACCTCAAGCGACTGTTTCTAAATTCCATAAATTCACTCTGCAGTCAACCAGATTGATGCAAATTTTCTGAAGTCTGATCTGTTATAACACGAAAACAAGCGATATATGATCAACCGAAATGTCGAATCCGTCAGCGTATTCGATTAGCTTATGTAATAGAAAGATTCTAAATTAGAATTCTCCTGAACACAAGAATCATATTCTGTGTTGTTAATTCTCTTTCACAATATTATCCATACCAATTGGAATGTTTTTTGTTCTATCTATTGCAGCATTTATTTATGACATTGTGATATCCTGTGCATCACTTCGTTGCTTGACAATAGTAATAACAACAACAAAATGTTGTTCTCATTGAAAAAAAAACAGCTGCAACAAAAACAGTAACTTTTTTTTTTCTTCAATTTTATTAATCATGGTACTGTGTTGATGAAAGCAGCTTTTTAAAAATTTTCTCTTTTTTTTCTTTGCGTTTCGTTCGACATCGACGACACACTATTTACATCGTCTACATACCTTTCTCAACTTGTCAAGAAAAAAAAAACAAAATTAATTCATGATATGATGAGTGAATCCATGATTATTAACCAACAATGTGCTTTGATAAAAAATCAAACTACTTCACTAACTACTGAACAACTCAAGAAATGTTTTGATATCATTTTTTCTGAACTGACAAATTTCAAATTTGCAAACAATATTAATGCAATCCAACAAATACTGGCATCTATTACGATCGATGTTACCAATCTCTACAGTGAATCTATTATTGTTGGTCATCCACTATTTTCACTCATTCGTGATTGTTATCTGAATATTTTGTGTCAATGGCGAAACGGTCAATCAGTCGAGCAAATGTCTCAGACAATTTTCTCTCGAATCTCAATTTTATTTGCACGTATGAGTGATCATATTACTGAAACCAATATTAACTCATTCAAACAGCTTCTCATTCATCAGTCTCTTATCGACGAACTCACTGGATGTCTTATCGAAATTGCAACAAATGGGAAATATTTACAAGATGTTCAGATAAATGCTGTCGATTCTACGATCAAAGCCATTAATAAACTTTCTAGACGTCGACTTGATATTCAAAATAATCCCTTATTCGAATTACTTTTGAACGGCACAGTTCAATGTGTATGTTCACCATTTTTTGTTAATATATTTAAACAAGTAACTGAACTAATTGAACTCAATGATACACAAGAATTATTGCTGAATACGTGTACCGATTATATTGTTTGCTATGAAGGTAATCGTCGTCATGAGATATTTTCTATTGTTCGTACAATTCTATTGAAACCTTTTACACAATGGTTACAACAACATACATCATCTTTTCGACAATGGAATAGAATAACCAAAAATTCTTTTGATAAACTCGGTGGTATTATATTCGATTTTGGTTCGCATAATGAGAAAATCATCGGTAAAGAAATATACGATGATTGTTGTAAAGCTATTGATTGTTATATTGTCATTTTATCCACATTATCCAATAATATAAATACGATTGATGAATCAACTGTCGATTTGATAGGAATTTGTATGTTTCATTTATATGCATTGACATTAGAACAGAGTCTACATGATTATATTAAAAGTCAACAATTATCTTCAATATTGTTACGATTGATCAATATTGACAATGAAGAAACACAGTTTAATGCTTATCGTATACTAGCTTCAATTATGACCGAACAAGATATTAAAATGTTAGCAAATCCGAGCAAAATTGCAAACGTCTTTATTACATTTCTCATCGATGTAATTGATAATACGAGAAAAATTCGGCGACTTCGAAATCTACTTCATTGTCTCAAGAGTAAGTATACTTTTTTTTGTGTACTCAAAAAGTGAGTACACTCTAGAATCGGTCAGTGTGTCCGGCCGTCCGGCCGGCCGTCCGGCCGGCCGTCCGGCCGTTAACACGATAACTTTTGAAAGGAGAGTCCGATCACGATGAAATTTTCTACACAGTTTAGTCTTAACAATATCTCGGTCGAGTTCGAAGATGAGCATGATCGACCGAGCCATTCGTGAGTTATTGCAAAAATAGTCATTTTTCCCTATGGCTTCCTATGCGAAAATCGACCGATCCCAGCTTTCGTAAACAACTTTTCCTATCATAGTTAAATAAAACCCCAACTATTATATACCATTCGATAGAGAATTTCACGAGCTACAAAATGGTATATAAAACATAAAGAAACAAGAAAGCTAACTCACCTATTGCAAAGATAATTAAACGGAATTTGGTTTTGTTCTTGTCCACGCTCTAATTGATCTACAATTAGAGCTCTATCTTCCGATCATACAGATGATAGTTCGAGGTTTTCTGGGGTGGAGAACTCGAATATGTGCTCCATTCGCCTCGAAATTCCATTGGTTGAGCAGTAACCAATAGCAATCAAGTTATAGGAAAAAAGACTTTCTTAGGGTAAATCAAGACGAAGAGTTCAAATCTGAGCTGTATTTACCCCAAATCCTATTGGTTGAGCAGTAGCCAATAGAAATCAAGTGTTTATAGAAAAAGTTTGCCAGGATAATTTTTATGTCTCCACATTCTAGGATGACTCATCTGCCTCATTCACTTTTTGAAGTACACATAACTCTCGGATTTAAATCCGAGGTTTCCACATTTATTCTCTCTGAACTCACAAGAAAAATGTTCTTTTTCATCTGATCATAATGAATTTCCTCTGTAGGTTTAGTTCAACATGATCAAATCAAAGAAGAATTGACTAAACAAGGCATATTACCTTATCTTCTTCAATGTGCTACAGAAACAAAATTCGATCCTATAAAAGAACAACAACCGACACTCGAAATTCTTCTTGCATTAACATTTCATGATCAAGCAGCGATATTACTTAAGAAAAATTCACAATTCATCTCACATCTTCATACATTGATTAATTCATCATCTGAACAAGGTTTACGACGAGCTGCCGAAGGTCTAATTTGGAAATTGGAAAAAGAAGAAACAGCAACTGACAAGTTAGTCACCATGTCGATGACAAAGGATGTTCGTAATTATAAATATGATATTATGCTGAGCTATTCTCATCGTGACAGAGATCTTTGCCATCGAATTTGTGATCGTCTAGTGAAAGATAACTTTCGTGTATGGCTTGATAGAGATCAAATGCATGGATCGACTATGGTTGCCATGGCTGATGCTATTGAAAATGCAGAATTTGTCTTCGTGTGCATGTCGGATGCCTATAAACAAAGTGCTTACTGTCAATCCGAAGCTCAATATGCCTATGAACGTCAATGTTACTTGATACCAATTGTGATGAAACAAAACTATCGACCTGATGGATGGCTAGGTATTTTAGTCAGTGGAAAAGTCTATGTAGATTTTCCTAAACTCGGATTCGATCAAGTCTATCTCAAATTGAAAAATGAAATCGATCGCCATAGGACGAACTTGAATCTTTCAATCAGAAATCAAGAACAACATCAACATGAATTACTTACGATAGCAACATCTGAAAAAACAATCGAAACGATAACAAATCAATCAGATGAACAACCAACAACAACAACAACGAAGTACGTCTATTTTCATTTGAAGATATTAAAAATTTCTTACACTATTTTTTTTTTGTATATTCGAAGAGAATTACCACATTGTATCGATCAATGGACAAAAGATCATGTCAAATCGTTTCTTTGCAACAAAAATCTCGAAAGTCTCCTTCCAGTATTTGCCAATATGAATGGGCGTCTACTCCATCAAATATATACAATGTGCATTACGAATAGAGAATCAATGTTCCAAAAATTAAAAGATGAAGTATCTGCTGATAGCCAACAGAAACCCTTGACTTTAAATACTTATCTTTGTTTTCTGGATGAAATTCAACAATATATCCCTCAGGTGCCTGGTAATCATTCGTCAACTTCTGTCATTTGTATTTTAATGTAGACAATCTAGTTCAGAACAATAAATATGTTGTAACAAACAAAAACTATTCTCTGTTGAGAAGAATATTATGATGTTTCATACTGTTCAATTTGCACTTGTTCTCACTCCTGATTAGACATCGGCGTGACCAAAATGTCGTGATCAAAGAAAAAAAAAGTTATTCGATTATAGTTTCAATAGTAAATGTGAGAACCGAAA